CTCCTCTCCTCTCCTCGCCCTGCCCTGCCCTGTTGCTGTTGTTGGACCCAAAAGCCCAGAATGCTCCACAAGCACAGCCTGAGGGTTCCAGGTCCATCTTTTCCCCTGCTCCTGTCTCTGGGGTTGTGACACACTCTGGCTGTCACTGTCTGCAGCTCCAGAGCCTCCTTTCTTAATGTGAATTACAGTATCCACAAGACAGAGGCTTGAAAACAGTTAGGAGTTGCCTTTTTGTCTTCAGGTGGAAGTGAGAAAAAGAGCTGCTGAGGTGTTTCCTCCTGGGAAAGGCTGTGGAATAAAAATAAACTTTGGGTCAAAGCAAGCAAAGCCATTTCTACACGTGTGTAAGACAGTTGTCTTTCACTCCTGAGCTCTGTGGGCTGGTCTGAGGAACTCTGTTCTGATTTATCTCATCTCAAATACACTGGTTAGATAAGTGGATGTCTCCATGTCAATTTATCACCCTGGCCTCTCTTTACAGCAAGAATCTTCTTCCAGATCCCATCCCACCCTCCCCTGGACACAAGCAATATTTGGGATGTTCTGAATATGGCAGAGAGCCACCCCTGCTTTGGAGTGCCATGGAGCTGGGTTGGCTGTGCCCATCTGCAGTGCCAGGGCCTGATGTGCCCTTCAGTGCTTAGAAGAGGAGCTGGGAGCCCCATCAGCAGTGCTGAGTGAGATGTGACACTTTCCAAAGCTAAACTTGCTGCATGGCAGCCTCACATTCAGCATTTCATGTGGCACTGGGACTGAGTACAAAGATGTTGTCACCAAGCAACAAAACGCAGATTTTGCAGGAGACAGTGAGGTGATTTAGTTGAGGTGTTAGAACATGGGTTTGACTCAATGATCTTAAAGGTCTCTTCCAACCTAGAAATTCTGTGATTCTGTGATACTAAACCTCCTCTCCTCCTGCCTCCTCTCCTTGCACCAAGGCCACCATAACCAGTCTTACCTGTGTGGTGGTGGGGAGCCAGCAGTGGACAAGAGTGTTGTGGATCAATTCAAACCAAAAGTGCCAGGTAAAAGGGAGACCCCAGAGAGGCAGGAGTGATCCTGTTCCCCCAGTGCCTGACCTTGGGATCAAGCAGGCAGCAGAGCAAGGCAGGAGCTGGACAAGCCATGAGATGCACTTGAACACAAAGAGGGAAGGGTCCATCCATGGCACTGGATGAAGGACTCTGAGCATTCCAAACCTAGAAACCCAGGGCTTGAATGAACAGGAAAAATGGCATGGTCTGCTTGCAGAAAAGAGACACTGAGAGCAGTAAGAAGCTATGAAATAAATAAATCTGATGTCAGAAAAAAATATCCTGAAACTAAAACTCTAAAGAAACAAGGGGAGAAAGAGGTTTGGAGCCAAGCAAGAGAGCAGTGAACAAGAATAATGCAGGGGCTTTTTTGGTATTGAAAGCTGACATCTGCCGGGTCTGTCTGTCCCCAGCATTGCTGCCCTTTGCACTGCCACCAAAACAAGCAGCCAATGTCCCCAGCACGGTGAGCAGAGACAACTGACCCCAGTGATGGTGATGGGTGGCACATTTCCATTAGTGTCCTGCATGTGCAAACAGATAGAGCATCCCCTCCCAGCTGCCAAAACACTGCTGCCTTATCTACAGCACAGCCAGGGGTGCAGGGCACAGAGACAAGGAAAATATGACTATGCTCATTCAGGATCAGCTCAAAAAGCCTCTCAGCTGAAGGTCTCATCAGGGCAGGTTTGCACAACGCTGAGATAAAGCTGCAGCAGGTTTTCCTCTTCCCCTGGACATTCACATGGGTGCTGCCCAGGAGAGCTGCATTTCCCCATCATGTGGCTCCTTGCTGACAGGCTGCCTGGTGCCCTGCTGGCCCTGAAGGTCACCCTAGCCCTGGCCCATGGTGAGTGCAGTGAAAAGGAAAAGTACTGGGAATGAGACAGACCCCATGTTTGTACCACAGCACCTGAATGACAAACCTGACCCCGATGGAACTCTATCCTGGATGGGGAGGGAAAGGGGTTTGCTCTGTCTGATCTGCAAAGAAATGAGTCTCCTGTGCTCAAAGTTGGGGTTCAAGGGTTTGTCCCTGGGTCCCTTGAAACTTTGAAACACATTTGCAAACTTCATGCAGGCTTGATGGGACAGGACATGGGGATTTGTAGGACAAAGGGGAATGGTTTTAAACTGACAGAAAATAGGTTGAGATTGTTCATTAGGAAAAAATTCTTTACTGTGAGCGTGGTGAGGCCCTGGCAGAGGCTGCCCAGAGAAGCTGTGGATGCTCTGTCCCTGGAAATGGTGAAGGCCAGGCTGGATGGGGCTTTGAGCAACCTGGTCTAGGGAAAGGTGTCTCTGCCCATGGCAGGGGGGTTGGAATGAGATCTTTAAGCTTCCCTCCAACCTACATCATTCTGTGGTTCTGATTTATCTCATCTGAATACACTGGTTGGATAAGTGGATGTCTCCATGCCAATTTATCACCCTGGCCTCTCTTTACAGCCACTGGCAAAACCCAGGCATTTCAGGTTGGAAACTTTTCTGATGCAGGGTGGGTGTTTCCTTCCAGGTCCCCTTGCCCTATGACTCCTGTTCATATCCAGTGTTTTTTAATAAAGAAGTCTGTGGTAAGAGCATCATTGATCCCTCCTGTTGTTTCTCTGAACAGAGCTTGTGTCACCCTGAGCCCCCAGCATGGACAAGCTTTAGAGGATGTGATTTTATATTGAAACCAACAGAGCTACACAAAAGGGAAAATCTGGTAGATTTACCCAATACTTGTGTTGAAAATAATATTCCAAAGCATTTGCACCTATTTTGTCTTATTTTTGTGTGACATTTAAATGCACATTGTTCATTGGCTTTGTTCTGACACCACATGCAAGTGGCTAATATTGACACTCAATTCAAATATTACAGAGCTGGGCCAAGTCCCAGTGCCCTCCTCAAGAGACTTGGGAAGACTCAGCCCTGCCAGGACTTCAGCCAAGGGAAGACAGGAGCATCTTCTTTTCCTTTGTGAAAAGAGTCTTGTGAGCTCTGCACAGGAATGAGAGATGGGATGGGATGGGATGGGATGGGATGGGATGGGATGGGATGGGATGGGATGGGATGGGATGGGATGGGATGGGATGGGATGGGATGGGATGGGATGGGATGGGATGGGATGGGATGAGGCTTTATGCCTTCTCCAGGGTTATGGAGGAGGCCATGCTAAGGAAGGACAATTCTCACCTGGCCTGCCTTGTTGCCTTGGTCTGCAATGCTAGCATCTTCTCTGGTGACATCTTCCATGTAAGCAAATGGCCAGAGCTGGATGTAGGGTTCATTTTAATAAATTAAATTATCATGGTCAAGTCTTATTTCATGGCTCTTCTGTTTTTCACTTTACTTAGTTAACATTCACATTACTTTTGCACTTGTGCTTTCTCCAGGGATCTGCAGACACCCTGGCTGGCAAGGTGACATCCTGCTGGGGTGACATCCTTCTGCATCCCTGGAGTCCACGTCCCCAAAACACACTGAACACATTTGTAGCAGATGGGAGCACATCCAAATACTGTGTGTGTTCCATAAAACCCTTTAATTCTCAGGAGCCTGTGGCCTTCCTCAAGCCAGAGGTGAGGAAAAGCACAATCATTATTAAACTGGTGAACTGAGAGTTGGAGGTGGGGGTGGGGGAATTCGTGTTGGTGTTTTGTTGGTTTGGGGCTTTTTAGGAGCAAAAAAAAGGATGAAAGGGGCAAAAGTTCCCTGTTTCACAGTTCCTAAGGTCACACTTCATATTAAGGCTCCATTTACAAAGAGCACATCATTCCTTGATACATGTTGAGGTGATTGATGAATCATTTATGGTGTATTGCTATTGACCTGCAGGTCTCAGAGCTGTGATTTTACCATCTATAACTCCTGCAGCTGCTGTGGACACAGCCATCGATAACGCTGGAACACAAAGTGTTTGTGTGCAGAACGTGCTTGCCACATCTAACATTTATGAATGCTTTATAAACAATTCATAAATGAAATCTTAATATACAGCATAACCTATTTTTAATGTTGTGGCAGTTACATAACCTGTTTCACCTTGATTCATCTCAGTTAACTTTGGGCACCTTGTGGAGGTGTCTCTCTTTGTAGCCCTGTGCCATTTCCCTCTGCAATTTTTTCCCTCCCTTCCTCCCACTGCTCATTTACCCCTGTTCCACCCCAAAAGTTCTGGTCTGGGATGCTGCAGCCTCTCAGGCTGCTGTGTGATGATGCAGTTTCACATCAGGAACTCACTCATGTGTGCACACACTAAAGGAAACACTCCCCTGCCTTTTCCTTACCCTTTTCAACCCAAACCCATTGCATGGGTTCAGCCTTGTGTGGCCACACAAAGAGGTGAATCAGGCCAAGGAATGGGGAGGGAATGGCTCTCTGCTCTGGATGTGGACTCTTGGGAAAGGAGCTGGAAAGCCCAAATCAGACCATGGCATCACTTCAGCCACTGGCCTGGAGAAGTTTGTCAGGACACGGGCAGACTTTGGAGAGCAGAAGGGCTCAATTTCTGACACAGATCAGTGATGACATCCTCACAGTCATTAACAAGATGCTCATTCTTAAACTGTTTCAAAAGCTGACCTGATTTCTCTCTGCCAGTGCCTACATTGCTTTTTTCAAGCTGAATCCAGGCTGAAGAGGGGCTGAAGTCTCCCCTCTCCAGCCACAGCACCAGAGAACTCTGGGCTGTAACAAATTCTCTGCAGAGGATCCATCCCAGAAATGGTGCTGAGCTGCCTCATTGTTAACAGATGCCTTCCCTTATGCCAAGTGATTCCTGAGCAGCTCCTGAGGAGTTTTCCTGTGGCTGTGAAGATGCAAGCAGGAGGTGGCTGAGCCCTGCTTTGCCTGGTGCACAGTGCTGGGGACAATCTGGCTTCCCAGGAAAGTCTGAGAGTCTGATTTACACCTCCAGGGTGCATTGCTGTGGTTGGTACAGCCACACACTGAGCACATCCTGGCTTGGAAGGATCCTCTGCACTGCCAGACTTGGATAAATGCAGATTTTGGTGAGATTCCTTCTCCCTATACCAGGGTTCCAGCGAGCCACTGGTGATGGCCCAGGCAACACAATGGGTTGTGGGCCTCCATGTCAAAATTGCAGGTTCAAGTGAAGATTGTGAAGATTGCACATCTGGGCACAGGGTTAGTAGATTTCCACAGGGTTAACGAATTTCCCCTGAATTAGCCGTCAAAAGAGGGCCTATTAATGTGTTATTAATGTATTTTTATTGATATGTTTAACATTAGACACATGCTTGTATATCTGAATCATGAACACAGGGACAGGAAGGGAGCAGTGAGTGTTAAATGAGATGTCACCTACACACAGAGTTGCACTGGTGTTATGGAGTTGATGCATCCTGAACACAGTGGCCTAAAGTGTCCTTCCAACAAGAAACAACAGATTGCAACCAAACAGACAAGGTCCTGTTCAACTGAAATAGCTCAAGATGCTTTAAGGAGAGCATCAAACTCCAGTTTATGGGTTTGAACCATTTTTTCTCAATTGGGTTTGAAGCATTTTTTCTCCACCATGGACAAAGTGTTAGGAAGGCTCTAACAGAGATGTGATGCAGAGGAAGGAAAAAAAAGAAAGGGACAAGTTGATCCTTTCTGTTGGAAAAAAACAAAGAAAAGCAGAAAAATGCAGTGAGTGGAAGAGTCAGTGGGAAGGATGAGGTGAGAAAGAGCAAGATGAGAAGCTGAGAGCTAAGGAGATGCTAAACAACCCCAGAATCCTGACCTAACCCCAGAAGGAAACAGTTATCATGGAACACTTGACATAGAAATTTTGTTCAGAGCTTTTTGTGTCTTCTGCATTAAGAAAAGAGCACGAGTGTTTGCAAAGCTCTGCAAAGCAGCCACCTGAAGGAAAGCCTTTAAACACCCCCTGTGCCCACACCAGAGCTGCAGAGGGCTTGGTTCCAGCCCAGGAGTGGCAGCCAGCCCTGCTCTGGGCTGTGCAGGGCAAGCAGGGGGGATGCACAGCCCCACTCAAGGGACAAACAAATGCCCACACCCAGGAGAGCCAGAGGAATCAGGGAAGGGAGGGTGCAGCTGACCCTCACTGAGGAATCCTCAAGAGCTTCCAGATTGGGAATGCAAACACAGGAGCCCCAGGACTGACAGAAGGAGCTCAGACAAGGCTGGGCATCAAATGATTCTTAGTGCTTGCAGTCTTCCAAGATGGTCCTTCCAGCCTTCGAGCTGTTTCTTAAAGGATGGAAAGGGTGAAAGAATCATGGAATGCTTTGGGTTGTAAGGAACGTTTACAGGTCCAGTTCCAATCCTTCAGCACTGAGCAGGGATATCCTCAGCTGGATCAGGTTGTTCAGAGCCCTGTCCAACCCAACCTTGAATGTTTCCAGGGGTGGGGCAGCCATCTGGGCAAGCTGTGCCAGGGCCTCACCACCCCCAACATCAGTATTGGGACCCTGAGGCATTTCACAGGGTCACAGATTCAGCCAAGTTGAAAGGGATCCACATGAATCAGCAAATCCAACTCCCAGCCCTTCACAGGACCATCCCCAAGAGCCCCACCCTGTGCCTGAGAGCATTGTCCAAACACTCCTTGAGCTCTGTCAGGCTGTGACCCCTTCTCTGGGGAGCCCATTCCAGCACCCAACCACCCTGTGGATAAAGAACCTTTTCCAATTATCCAACCTAAACCTCCCTGGACACAACTTCTGGCCATTTGTTGCCTTTCATGCGAGTGCCTCTCCCTCTCCTCAGCTGACACAGCAGCCACACCACAGAGCAGACAGGGTTCACCACCCCTGAGCTCATCTAGGAAGAGAAAACTTGAATGTCACCATGATATTTTCTGAAGAATCTCTTCACCAGGATTTCTTCTCCTGGGAAGCTGGGAAGCTTCAGCTTCTCCTTGTTTTGCTGTTTTGGAATGTGATTTGGAGAACTGCTTACTCAGCATGTGAATTGTTTTAATTTAATGACCAATCCCAGTCCAGCTGTGTCGAGGCTCTCTGAGTCTGTCTTAGGTTTTTATTGTTCATTCTTGTCCAGCCTTCTGATATATCCTCTTTCTTTTGTATACTTTTAGTATATAATTTCTTTTAATATAATATAACATAACATCATAAAATAATAAATCAGCCTTCTGAAAACTTGGAGCCAAATTCTCATCTCTCACCTCGTCCCAGGGACCTCACAACACCACACTTGAGTGAAGCTGAAATTTCAGTTCCAGGGTCCAACACATTCTTTCAGAGACACAACACAGAATCAAGGGATGCACGTTATTATCAGCAAAATCACACAACACATCCAAGAGCTACAGACTAAGGAGACTGGCAGAGGTGTAAATTACAAGCCACAAGTATTTATTCAGGTAAAGTTACATAACTTATGCTTTTCCAGTGCATTCATATATGGATCAACATCTGCTCTCAGCAATGGCCATTTAAATTAGGAATAATTTATTGCAACCACTGGTTCATATCAGATTTACAATGAACAATTCAGCTCATCATGTTCAAAATAATTGCTGGGTGTTTCAGAGGAAGAAAAAGAAGTTTTCAGTACCAAGAAATGAAAGCAAATAAGAAAAATATCATCCTTCTTTCAAGCAGTACAAGGACCATCCTGACAGCAACCCCAGTGATTTTAAGCACCTTTCCCTCAACCCCTCTCCAAATTATGCTAACACTTAAATATCTTCCTTCTGGACAAGTTAGAAATGACCCCCAGAAGGAAGAACTTCTTGTGTTTAATCTCTTTCACCAAGACAAGTAGAAGTCTGAGAAAACTGGGGAAGATATCATAAATGCCAAAAGCAACTCAGTGTCCAAGTTGACAAGGGACAGAATCTGCTATATAATGAACAGATAGACCTTTAAGGGTCAGCTCACACATAAGAACTGATATTTATGTGCACATGTGGCAGATTTATAATGGCATATTGGATACCTAGAAAATATGCAGCCTGCTTTTCTTGTAATAAAACCTGTTCCCATTCCAACAGCTTCAGTGGGCTGTAGATAAGGATCCTTCATAAGTAAAAGGCACTGGAATGTTGCATCCTAGGACAGCTCCACAGAACAAGACCTTCTCTTCTCAGAGAATGCTGTTGAAAATAATTAGAGAACAGGCCCTTAGCTGAGTAAATTGAAGCATCCTGACTACAACAGCGTCTACTTTAAAATATTTTTATTTCAGTGTGGTCCTTATAAAGCCTTAGCTGTATTCCTAGAATCTGCAGATTATCTTCTGGGAACATTGAATAAAACCCAATTTGAATTTTGCTCCAACAGTGTTGTGCAACATAGTCCGGACACTCATGTCAAAACCAAGATTTTAGAGAAGATGCACTGGATTAGTTCCTGCTCTCCTTGGATCTCATTTTTCTGGGTGTTGCCTATCCAGTGACAGAGAATTCAGCCTCATGACACAATCTGGTCAGCCAAGCTCCACCAACACAGAAAAGCAGGCCCAACTCAGCTGTTGGACCCTTTTTCCAGGGGTTTTGTTACTGGACCTCACTGGCACCTGACAGAGCAGGGAATGACTGCAAATAAATCCTCAGCAGGGCTCAGATTTTCATCAGGTCAAGACTGAA